ACAGGAGGAAAAGGCCATTGATCAACTCATACTCAAGGGAGCGAGTTCTCACTGTAAGGAAGTACCAACAAGCAATGCAACACATCATGATCAAAACAATTTTGAAACGCTTCAGATGCTGGTCTGGCCAAACACACTCCAGAGTAATTAAATTTTGATAGGAATCTCCAGACATGCAGTCAGACATCCTCACTCTCCGCACTCTGGGATTTGCATACATTTCTATTTTTACACCACTATGAAAACATTCGTCGTCCCTGATAAAAGAGCGCTCAGATTATGAGCTCATGTAAACTTCGCTGTATTAGTCTGATTATTGTTCTCTGATTAAGACTTTGATTGTCTCATGGAATTATCATTAATTGTTATCCAATCCCATATCCATCACACTAATGATGGTCCCAACATCAGCAATGAAAATAACATCTCTGTATTACTGGTCTGTGGTGACATATCATTTTCATGTTCTAGTAATTACCATGAAAAATAGTCTATGATTGATTAATATCACATAATGAGGTAATTGCCTGCAATTAAGCAGCAGTGATGCATGCAAGAGCAAATCACTCAGTGAGGGAGAGCTAATTGTTAAATGAACAAATTTTAGTATACAGCTGATTTGTGTGATTAAAAAAGAGAGGAAAGAGAGATATACCAGGGACTGACCGATATATATATATGTAGATGTAAAGTCAGAGATGACAGCTCATCTGCTGCTGCACAATTTGTGTTGGTCATCCTCTGGTCCTTCATCAGTTCATCAGTGGTCACAGGAAGCTGCCCAAAGGACGCTGTTGGCTGGATATTTTGGTTGGCGGAATATTTTCAGTCCAGCAGTGACACTGAGGTGTTTAAAATCCACTGGTAGCAGCACAACACACACTAACACACCATATATATATATATATATATATAATTTTTTTTTCAATATGCTAAAAAATGACCAGGATAGTTAAACTTATGCATATAACTCTATACGCGTATATATATATGACAGTGTGTGCACATCTTCTAGGCTGGTTTGTAACTGTGAATAGTCTTTAATGGGACAATCGGTTAGAGGCTTATCAGGCACTGTAATGTCCCTATTTCAAAGCAATCATTTGCCAGAGTTTTATATAACTGGTTTCAAAGCACAGGGCACACAGATTGAGTGATAAAGAAAGAGAAACACAATATTCTAGGACAAGACCCTATAATTATGTTAGTACACAGAGTATAAGAGAGATAGAGGGAGAGGGTGGGAGAGACCGACAGGGCAGTAATTTCACTGTTAGCCATATATGTTTATGAGTGCATGTGTGGGGTGTTTGTTTAATGTTCCCTCTGACGAAGCTGAATGACTTGGAATGCCCTTTGCATCTTCAAATGGCTCACTATGTTTGAACAAACGTAAGCGCGCCCTGCGCTGACTATTAGATGAGTACATTTTAGGACACAGCTGATCTGTGTGATTAAAAGAGTGAGAGAGAAAGCACATTACCATAAATGTGTCTTTCAGGCTAGTTCATGGTAGTATGCACTGATTTCAGCAATTCCCTTGCTGGCCGCCCATGTTTCTGAGGTGCAAGGCAAACACGTCTCAGAGTGTCTTCCACAAAAGATATGCCAGAATTATTTGCAGAATGCAGCTCTTCACATAAATATGCAATAAATCACAGGTGAAGTGAAAGCAAAACTGTTAAATAATTAAGCATGTCTGCTGGAAAATGAGTTGGTATAATCAGCAGGCGTTTTATGCTTAGCTCTTGCAAATTGTATTTACTGTTTAAAAGACAGCTAACGCTAAATAGATTCATCCATTAAGTATTACATTCATCGTTCATTACTAAGCCCTCCCTACGACTCTGTAATCTCTCTCAGGTGTGTTTGTGCAGGTCTAGATTAAATGCAGCTCTGAAGCAGAAGGCTTACCTATTCCTACTGCAATCCTGGACTTTATTCACACCTGTTTATGTTGACTAATCTTCTTTAAAGATTGGTTGTGTGCATGTGAGAATGTGCGCATTGCACATTTGTCCTTGTGTCACAGAACTTATGTAGCACACTGCACACTGTAGATGGGGGCGTGTGTCTGCTTGGAATCATTTGTCATACTAATAATTGCTGTTATTTTATTGAATGCTATCTTATACAGTGTGGATTAGTATTAGTATTATAAGCTAAACTAAACAATTAAATGTATTTCAAGATATCGCTGCTGTCAGAACAAAACCTTGTATCTTGCATTTTTCAGTTTTTGACATAATTTGAAAATGCCTGTTGTCTTTTACATTGTGTGTAAATTTCATGATGAATGAACTAAAAGAAATGACCCAAAATTATTTGGAAAAATGTCTGGTTCCCTTGACTTACATTTAAAAGTAGGGTATGTTTTTTCCTTCTCCTGTAAAGTTATAATTTTGGAGATAGAAGGTTTTGCTCCGACAACAGCGATATGTTATTCAATATTTTATGTCTGGGAACATCCAGAACCTATTAAATGCACAAAAAATTATTTATTTATAGTAATTTCTTGATATTTGTGAGATTTGATGACACAATGCACAAAAGAACCAGCAGTGCCACACTGTAAAAATAAAATAAAAAAACAAACTTATTTCCAGCTACTGCCATGCTGTGAATTTATCACCAAAGTACATAGTGTCTAAAGTACGACACAGTAAGACACAGTGCTGATGGTGGCAATATCAGTAATTCAGCTGACTATGTTGGACAGCTCCCCTCAAAACCGAATGTAACATAGAGGTATGAAAGAAAGGACGGTGCAACTGTAAAGTTGTTTGAACAGTGATGAATGCTAGAACCTGTGTTCAGTGATTTCACGTTTAAGTTCATGAGAACCGTGCATTCACAGGAGGAAAATAATGTTTTGGAATTATTCAAAATAATAAATACATTCTTACCTTAAAAAAAATCGTTTGTAAGCCCTCCTACATTGTGACATTATGTGATGTCAATTATCACAATAACAACAATCATAACAATGATGTCATACTGCTCGTCCCTAGTGTGTGTGTGTGTGTGTGTGTGTGTGTGTGTTTGGCTGCTGTCACCTACTTGGTCCTTTTGTCTCACTTTAGGAAGCCACTCATAAAGATTTAATGGAATAAAACTTGCAACATAATTTAGTGAATTTATTAAGCTTTGTATCTCCTGAGTACCTTTTCAAAAACTCAGTTTTACAGCTAAAAGGTTAGAGATATAATACGTTATGACGTGACTGGGCTCGTAATGGGATGAAAACAGCTTAGAATTCTGTTGATCGTAAATAATTTAGATCGACTACCCTCACAGTGCGAATTTAAAGTCAAATGTGTCCTATGACGGATTTGTGGTCTGGGTTTAATATAGTACAGTAATGAGAAGATGCTGATTGGTGCTTTTTTTAGATGCTACATTTGTCTGCCTGACACATCCAGTGTGCAGTAGCCTGTGCCATATCAGGGATATTTTTCAAATATTCTCTGAGTAATGTCTTACAAATTTGAATATCAAATTGGACTGAAATGCCCATCCTTGTCAATGTGTGCTATTCCAGGCTAAATGTCCTACAGGACTGGATTAGAGTCATTACTTTTTTCACTCCAATATCTGATCTGGCATTTTCTGCTGATTTTGCCACAACATTTCTTGTTTTGGCTACTAAAAATATACAGCCTACTCTACATGCCTTGAAGAGATTTATTATGCATTATTCTTCCTTTTAATTAACCTGTTTGGTCACATGCAGAGCAACTGCACCAAGCCAGAACCTGGCAGAATTTGTTAAAGGGGAATTCCACCCTTTTTTCCACGTCTGCATAATTCAATGGTTAATATGTAAACAGTCACCCAGAATGTTTTGAAGTGAAATGCTCCATTCTAGGGAAACCTACAGAGTCAGAACTGTTCACAGTGGGGGTGATAGGAACCAGAAGGAGTGATAGGAGGAGTTTAATGTTTGTAAAACTCACTCACAGAAATTTATGAATATGCTGTCTGATGCCTTAGACATTGTATTATGACAGTTCTGAGATATGCTTTTGGCCTAAAATGTATTTTTTAAAGCCACTCATAGTGGACAGGTACACGCAGGGCATTGTAAGGCAAAATAGTCCCCAAAAGAAAACTTTTTTTCAGATTTACCGCTGTTTCACCATTATCAACATTACATATAAAACTCAGAAGATGTGTAGGTTCACTCGTGGTTTTGGATAGTAAATAAAAAGGGTACCTTTGCACTGCAGACATTACAACTCATGGTTCCCATCACCACCACTGTAAGATATTAGTCTGTAAATTTCTCTAGAATGGAGCATTTCACATCAAACCACGCTGAATGACTCCATTCACATCTCAATAACTGAATTAAGCAGAATGTTTGAACAAAGAGCCAAACCACCATGATAGCTAATGTGATGGTGTGGTGATCGAGGTGGTCTCCCCTGCCAAAGTAGTCCGCATGGCATCATAGATGCTGTTACACTGGCTGAAGCTTGCTAATATTGCTGTAAATGAAAAAAGGTCTTAAATACAATAAGGAGTTAAATAAGCTGGTGTTACACTGAAAGGCTATCACTGCAGTAGAACAGTATCTATCTGATACAACCCTAAGTGGATGACATCAGGTGGATTAGATTGGCAGGGGGGACCACCACTGACACCATAACGGCAATGTTCTTATGATGTTTTTAATAAATAGTTCCTTTTTCAAAGCAATACCTGTTTTTTTGTACTAAAGCATGCCTACTGACTGTAAACACAATGTACATATGTCAAGATGTTTCTTGTATTCTGACCTTAAATTCTTTATCACTTTGGCCACAAGATTCATCGGCTTGGTGGCCTGAGAGGTCAGTGCAAACGTTTATACGTGTCTACCCCTGCTGATCCCTGGTATCAGTATGTGAGGGACCACTCTCACATACTTCTTTGTTTGCTTCTCGCTGAAGGCACAGCCCACCTACATGTGCTTCAGTGTATGTGTGTATGTGCGCATATGTGAGACACCCTCCTACCTGTCCCTCTCTGAGCTGAGGTAGCACACCAGGTGGCAAGCCCACAGCAGTGGACCTGCGTAGGTGCTAAATGCGGTCAAGAAAACAGCAGGAGCCTCCACATAACTCTCCAGCCCCACGAACCCCACCGAGATATCCACCGTCGCAATGTTATTGGAGTTCCCCTGAGAACACATCAAACACAGCCAAATAAAAGCCTCAACAAAGACAGCAAGCTGACAAAAAAGTGACAAAAAGAATGAACTCTGTTACATTTCTTCCCCTACATTTCAGCTCCGAGCAAATGAATGCACAGCAGAGCTGCTGTATAGGCAGTGAGAAGGACTTAAGCCTCAGAAATATGCATAATGCATATACACGCCATCGGGAGGAGGCTGATGTCTCTGAAGAGAGTGAAGCGAGTGTCAGATTTGTGCGCTTGTTAAAGTGGGGAGAAACCTAAGGAAAAGGAATTTACTCTTTGCTGCATTTCTCTGAAGGCAGACAGATTCCCACTAACACTGTAAAGCTGAAGGAGTGATAAAATGATTGAGTTGAGAGGAAAAGGAGGAAAAAAAACTAGCTTGGACTTTCTATCCTCACTCTTTCTTTGGCAGCTATCTAGAGGAGGCCTTGTCTGTCACTTTGACTGCTTGTGTCAAGGCAAACATTGTAGAGAAACACCTAAAGGCAGCACACGCACACATGCACACGCACACACACACACACACACACACACACACACACACACACACACACACACACACAGAGACATGAGCACACTCCACCGCAACACTCTCCATCATTCTTTCTGTCTTTCTCTCTCTGTATGTCAAACCTCCATAGAATGACATGGTGTTTGATGAAAGAGGCCCAGCCTGCCAGTGCAAAATTAATTCAGGCAATGATGAGATGGGCAAAAAGCCACCCCTCAGTGCGGACCCCCTGCTTTCTGCTGTCATGACTAAGAAGTGTTTCTGAAAGGCAGGATTGATGGAACAATTGTTTTTTACTCAACTTTCATGACTGAGGTGGAACGTCAGAGAGAGAGAGAGAGAGAGAGAGAGAGAGAGAGAGATGAAAGAGAGTGATGGCATGGCAAAATGACAAAAAAAGAGAAAAGAGAGAGTGAAATAAAGAAAGAGAGACTGTGAGAGAAAGACATAAAAGAGAGGGAGTGAGAGACAGACTGTGAGAGAGAGACATAGAGAGTGAGAGAGAGAGAAAGAGAGAGCGAGCAAGGCAGAGATGCAGCTCTCTCTCTCTCTCTCTCTGTGTCATAAAAAGAGAGACCTTCAGTTTTTTGAAAGAGAGAAAGACAGAGAGATAGTGAGGCAGAATCAGAGTGAGGGGCAATGGGAGAAAGAGAGCAGGTGAAAGAGTGAGAAAGATATATATATCTATATATATCTAGATCTATATATATATATATAGATATATATATATATATATATATAGAGAGAGAGAGAGAGAGAGAGAGCAGAAGAGAGGCACAGAGAGACAGACTGTGGGAGAGAAAGAGATAGAGGGGGGGCAGGTTCTCATTTGCTCTTATCAAAAAGAAAGTGAGCTGCACTTTTGTGATAGAAAGAGAGAGATAGCAAGGCAGAACGCAAGAGAGAGTGACAAAAAAAGAAAGAGTGGGATTGACCCACAGAGAGAGAAAGTAGGTGAGTGAGAAAGAGAGAGAGAAAGAGCAAAAAATAAAGACAGAAAGAGAGAGAGAAAGAGAGAAAGAAAGAACCAGAGATTGCGAAGAGGGAGAAAAAACAGCGAGACTTACTCTTTCTTTCTCTTTTGTTCATCTTTCTTTCACACTCTTACTCTCTCTGTCTCTGTTTATCTCTTTTTCTCTTACTCTTTCTCTCACTGTCCCACTTGCTCAGAAAAAAGAAAGAGAGAGTGAGAAAGAGCATTACAGGCAGTGAAATAGAGAGAGAGAGAAAGGCACAAAGAGAGTCAGAGACGGACTGTGAGCAAGAGGGAGAAAAAGAGAATGAGACTCATTCACTCTTTACCTCAATCTTTTGCTCTCTTTTCTCCCTTTTTCTTTTTCCTATTTCTTTATCTCACTGCCTTACTTGCTTGCTTAAAAGAGAGAGAGAGAGAGAGAGAGAGAGACAGACTGAGAGAGACAGAAAAGGAGAGTAAGAGAGACAGCAGCACTTTCTCTCTCACTTCAACTCTCATTAAAAGGAGAAAGCTGCAGTTTTAGGAAAGAGAGAAAGAAGGAGAGTGATTGCAAGGCAGAATGAGAGAGAAGGACAAAAGTGATAGAATGGGACAGAGTGAGAGTGGATGAGCGAGTGAGTGAGACAGAGGGAGAGTGCAAGAGAGAAAGAGAGAGAGAGAGGGATGGAAGAAAAAGGCACAGAGAGAGACAGAAGGACAGAGAAAGAGTGAGGAGAGGGAGAGAGAGAATGTCCTGTGAAAGCACAGTGCAGGGGTTGACCTCGTTTGGCTCCTGGATCCAAATGCCATTCTCCAGGCCGGTAATTTCATGCTTGGGCAGCTAAAATGATAATTGGCGGGGGCTGCCGTATTCATGGCCCTTAGTTAAAAAGCCAAAGCAGAGCACAGCACAATAAGGCCCACAGGGGTCACTGACACGGCGAGAAATATCAGTACGGGTGGCTGGACACCTTCAAATAATGAGGACATCACTCACAGCCTCTCTTAAACTCCATACACAGCACTTTCATCATAAAAGTACATACAGGACGTAAGCATTTCCTGAGGTACAGCTTCAACGTCAGCGTGAGTCATATAGGATCATTTTAATACAGCCATTCTGACAGACGTGTTGTAGCGTATAAACAGTCTGGATGAGCAGATGCCTGTTTCGTGAACCAGCTGAAGTGCTATCTGCACATGAACAGAGCGACATTTGCACACCGCGATTCTGCTGAAGCAGAGGCTACGAGCGGATTCTCTCCGTGGTTCCACTAAAAAAGATTAGCAAATATATCAGGTAGGTAGGAAAAGGTTTCCTTTTTTTATGGTGCATTAATATTTGTAAACCAACCCTATACAATTCCCAAGAGCACATTATTGGGCTCATTCTGTCCTGTCCCATTCAGAATGTAAAACTGAATTTATATTGGAGAGTAAATGCTGCTACATGCCCTTCAGGAGAAAACGGGAACTTATTCGTTTAGGGAGGAGACAAAAGACTGCAGATCCAGCAACTCTCTGACCCCCGAACCCCTACATATCACCTGCTGTTCTATTTCTCATCCATGTTTTCAATGAATATGTTGACGAAAACAGTTTTTCTCTTCCCGCAAATGTAGTCTGAGACATTGCTCATTGTTTAGTTTTGCACTGCTAATGTAGCCAACAACTAAGGGAGGCATATACATCACCAACTAGCATCTGAGGTCTTCAGGCATTTTGCCTCAAACCTCATTAAATTGTTACACAATCTCAAACAGACTTGCTTATGTGGATTTTGACACTGTATGGCAGACAATCAGCTAAGAAAAGGAGAAAAAAGAAGCCATTACTACTTCTATTTTTAGCTATTATATAGCTATTATGCTCCTAATTAAAGCTATCAAGTAGAACTGATCCACTATCCAGCCCCTAACATTTAGAATAAAATTATAAAAGTATAATTTTAGAGATATTGTTTTATTCTAGAACCTACAAAGCATTATTTCTAAACCTCCCAAAAGTTTCTTTATGTCATTTCAGCTTTGTGGGGTTGTGGCTTTATCTGCAATAGAAGGTCATGACGAGTGACTAGTTTAGCATTGTTAAGTTACTTAAGGGGTTTTCTGTGAAATTAATGTGGCCTCTCTTCTATCACTTCCAACATCAACTTGGGTTAAAATTATGTCGTTTTATGGTTGCGTCAAAATATTTTTTTCATATTCTGAAAATCTGTAAACATGTTGCTAGACATGGCTAAATATAGGCTATGTTAGAAATACTGTCTGCTCTAATACAATAGCTAGTTCTCTATTCCCGGTTGGTATTTCAGGCTGCTGATTCTGTTGTTTGTGACTGTGAAGTTGGTGAGAATGTATAGGCTGTTTCTGTCTTGCATGAATTAGAAGGGGACAGGACTACAGATGCTTGTGGACAGACCGCACACATCATATTACCTCCGTCATGAGTGCTCCTTCTGTTTGACACACGACCAAAGACGCCACTGGTCTGTTTTTCCTTGCTCTTTCTTTGAAATGGCTTTGTCTCTAAAAAACCTCTGGATTGATTTAGCATGACAATATGTTTTAATGTTTTTCTGACATTAAAAATAAAAACAAAACAAAACAAAAAAAAAAACAAATGTGACACTTCCCATGCATAAACATGCAGACACACACACACAAGCCTGATCCACACTCGCCACACTCCCGTTAAACAGGCTGTGAGGTTCTTTTACCTGGAAATAAAAGAAGGCCTGTCCGAACCAGTAGTGCATGATGGTGGTCTGCGCAGCGTCATAGTGCAGCTTCTTCCAGATGAACTGAGCCATGAGGGTCTGGATGAGCAGGCAGCATGCCAGCGTAGGCAGGTTATGAGCTCGGAACAGTAGAGCTACCAGCAGCACCACACCACTGAACACTTCCCATAATCCCCTGCTCTTCTGACGCCTGCCCTCCACCGCTGAGGACATCACCTGAGAGCGCAGTAGATCCTTCACTCCGGTGAAGAGGATACCCAGGACGAAGACGTAAACGAAACGTGCCTCACTTGTTCCTCTACAGCATGAAAAAGAAACAAAGAAAGAAAGAAAGAAAGAAAGAAAGAAAGAAAAATAAGGTAGTAAGAAAGAAAGAAAGTCGAGAGACAGAAATTGAAAGAGACAGAAAGAGAAATAGGGGAGAAAGACAACAAAAGAAAGTAAGAGAAAGAGAGAAACAAAGAGACCGATATTACAGGCTCATTCCGATTTCATTACTTTTTCATTTACTATAAACTAACATGACGATTTATTTTCTTCCACAGTTTGAAGTGGATATTTGATTACACCTGCAATATGCAATTTCTGAATGTCTTATTAATCTTTGCTGGCTATAGTGTAATTGAATACAGTCATGCCAATACAGCCTCTTGAATTGAATTGACTCATGCAGTTTCCCTGACAATGAAAAAGTATACAGTGGGGAAAACTCTTGCAAATGCACACACACAGCCACACACACACACACTCTTAAACACACGCCTCAGGAGGGATCGATATTGACAGAACCCTTTTGTTTGAAGGTTTGTCTGCAGTGCACCTTCCCACACCTGCTGGAGTTCAGTGGATCAATAGAATTGAGGATATGTTCTATATTATGGAGCGCTGAATACACAGGCCTTATTACAGCCAACACAGACCACCAGGTTAACCATACAGCACTAATGAGAGCATCCAACACATTTACATCAACATATTCCATGCAGTCTGTAAGTAGCTGGTAAATGACCTTTCTGTGTTTTTTGCCCTGCATTCAAGCACATTGTATTAGTGCAGGAAACAAGACATATTTATATCAATAATGGGCCCACAGGGGAATCATCCCATAGGTTTATGGCCCATATGTGATCCAGAGCATACCACTTAAACTGCAGAACATAGTAGTATGAGCATGTATGGCCACCAGTGGAACCAGTTTTCTTGTTTTGCAACAGGATGAATTCTGAAACAAGACCAAATTAACACCAATGCTATAAAGAATTGTGATGGATCCATAAACCCCACATGGACGTCTAACGTTAAATGCTTTTACTAATAACAAGCATTTTATGATTTATATTTTGTAATTTTGTATTACTCATATGAGCATATGTTAAGCAGGCAGGGACAGCGATTCGCACTCAAATAGCCGTTGAGTGCATCACAGAGAGGAAACTGGCATGGACCTACACCAGCAGGGTCTCACATAGTAGATAGGCTGAAACCATACTGAACACTTCCAATGTAAGAACACAGTTTGTCAAACAATCAGCTTAGCAGACAGATAACAGGCTTCTCCAACAATATTTAGACTTAAGGTTTAAGTAAAGATTCACTGATCCCAAGTTCAACCACAGTCATCCATGGCTGGGAGTCCAAGAAAGCATGATTGGCTTTGGTAAGTTGGCCCTCCTTCTCCCCCATCACTCAGCGCAGTGCTAACACGGGTGTTTGTTAGCTGACGTGACAAAACTGGTGGCTAGCATTCTGCTCTAAGTGTGTTCGGCTGCCCAATGACTTTGTGTCAGAGGCAGTTTGGAAAGATGTAGCTTGTAGATGATGATAACATAGCATTGCAAATCCTATAGATGTATTAGTGTAAATTATAGCAGTGGTAATCAGATAAAAAGCCACTTATAAAGTGAAGGTTTCTGCATTAAACACTGCTTTATATTGATAGATTCTTGGAGTGCCTGCTCCTCTTTTAGTACTCGCATGCTGCTTTAGTTTGCTGTGCTAATGCGAAAATTCTCTCACCATTAATGAGATAGTTCTTGCTTTAATCTTGTTCATAATCAAGTTTTTATGTGTGCAAGGCTGGTTTGTTTTGGTTTGGTGGCAGCACAGATGAGTCCAATGGAACAGTAAAAATTATACACGTGTTTAATAGGTCTGTTTTATTAATTATGAGTTACCTGAATATGTAGGGAGAGTGTAATGATCAGGCTTAATTGAAACAGATTCTTTATTTATATAAATCATCATATGTTATTTGTTACAACTGTAATTTGTAAATTTGAAACCTGTATGACTGATTACTGTTTATAGCCCCCTTTTGTGAGTCTGTTGGCAGGCTTTGGCAGAATACATTGGAGTGGGTTCTTGTAAACAGGACAAAGAGGGAGAAATTTGGTTTGCCTGGGAGTTCTAGCTTATGTGGCTTAAGAGTCTTGTTGAAATACAAAAGTACTCAATAAATGTTTAAAACACTGCCTTCTGGGCCATCACACTAATACACTGCACTGGTTCTTAATGTAAAACTCTAGTGAATGGTGCAGTAGTCTTCTCTCACCCTGTGCTGTTTTTGTGCCATCAGGTACTACCCTACATCTGCACTAAACACTCACTTGGCAACATGTTACCATGGCAACGTAGCCCTGGCAACAGCTTGGTATTAGGCAGGTACACGCAGGAGCTAAAGGAGTGATGTGGCATTGAATCTAACAGGCAGCCCTCAGCAATCGAGGACCAAAAGACAGCAGCTCTGCAATGATAATGAAAGAGCGAGCACTGGGGGCAAGCCTCGGACATAAAAAGTTGATGAAAGGATGTGGACCTGACCACAATGGAATAACTGCATCAGTTACTTCAAAGGTGTAGGACAGCAGGATAGTTTGTTCATGCATTAATGTTTGGTAACATACATCCAGCCTAAACCATTTACCTGTGTGGAGGACACTGAAGGAAAATTTGGAATTATAATGCCTCACCTTGTGTGCAATTACATGCAATGCTGAAGTAAAGGGAAAATGCTCATCTCTCAAATGAAGGGAAAAACTCTTTAATTGTGGTAAAATATCTGTAACTGGCCTTCAGTGGCTTATTACTTTGAGAAAATACAAGTCAGCTCCAAATTATTGGAACTCTTGGCAAAGATGGGTAAAAAGGTCATGGAAAAATTGTCTTTGTAGTTAATTAGCTCAGTTCCACACCAAAATTAAGAGGGAAATGGTAGCATTTTGGGGTCACCACACCTCCAAAACTGCAATTAGACACCACCTGTGTTAGAGAAGAGATTTCCAAGTATTTGGAAGCTAGAAGAAAGCCTTTTTCATCTAACCACACATCCAACAAAAGCCCCTGAAGTTTGCTAGATGCTATTGGAACCATGACTGGAGCAGTGTTCCTCAGTCAGATGAGAAAAAAATAGAGCAAGCTTTTTATCAATAAACACTCAATGTGGGTTGTTTGGCATAAAAAAATAAAATAAAAATCTCATTCCCACTGTTAATTATGGTGGTGGATCTGTGATGGATCTGTGATCTGTTTTTCCTCCAAAGTGCCAGGGAACCTTGTTAGGATACATTGTATCATGGAAATGGCGTAGTATGAGATTTTAACTGAAAATCTACCAAAATGTCTGCCAAAAAGCTAAACCTGGGTCATCCACTTAGATCTTCCAGTAGGACAATGACCCAAAACATACATACAAATCCAATCAAAATGGTTCATCGACCACAGAGTCAAGCGTCTGACATGGGTAACCTGCAGGGTGAGCTGAAGGAAAGTGTCCAAAAGAAAGGATCTAGGATGATTTGTAGAGATTCTGTTGTGATTGTTTTCAGATTTTCAGATTGCTTGATCTACATTCTCCAGTCTCATTAAAGGTTATAGAAGATTTGACACTGTTATGCTGGCAAAGGGAGAGTAAACAAAGTGTTAAATGCGGGGTGCCAATAACTATGACAAATTATCATAATTAGTTTCAATTAGGGGTCAGATTTCTCATATTCATTATTCAGTGCCATAAACAAGCAGAAAACATATTTAACAGAAAACTACACAGAATGGCTTTTGATTTTTCGAAGAAATCTGCAGGAATATTTTTCATCGTCTCCAAAGTTCAGTCTTAGAAGTTGGTTGCATTCTCTGCTTCACATGATCCAGGTAATCCCAAACACATTCAGTGAGGCTGAGGTCAGTTCATTGTTCTGAGAACACCAGGAGCTTCTTTGTTTGATTTGATAATTTTCTTCTTTTTTCCTTTTCTCAGTAAGGTCTTCTTCATACCTACGTGCTCTTTCAGACTCAGTGCTGAGTTGTCCTCTCACAGTGGAAGGATGGACAAAAACACTTGTGATTTTTTTTCAGATCTGAAGTAAGAGTGGAGCTTGAGTTTCTCCTGTCTCTCAAAGATGAAAACTTTAAGTTCTGTTTCTGATGGTTTTGACGGTCTACCTGGTCTTGCATGCTCATTAAGAGATCCATTTTCTGTATATCTTTTAATTTTTTTTTTGTTTTTTTATTGTTATTTTCCTTTGACTTTAGCCTTCCTTAAGGAAGTGAATTAACTTACATCTAATCTGCTTGGAAATGTCTCCTGAAACATGAACACCTTGTACTTAAAGGTTCTGTTTGACTGGAAATTCCATAAATGAAAGGTGGTCTGTGACTTCTTCTCAATACTGTATGTGTACATTAAGTATTCAACAGTGGCTTTGAATGAAGCTCAGTCAGATTTCAGCACTTGAACTATCCATTTTATAATACTTTTCAGACTAAACAGGTTTGATACACACGGCAATACAGGAAGCGGAACTCTGACACACGCGCAGGACACGGCGGTGCCTGCCGTTTTGGATTGACAGTGTGTGTGATGGACCCTAAGGGTGCATTTTCCTCTGGTGCGGTGAAAAGAGGAAAGCTAAACAAAGCTGGAGCTCCCGAGCACAGGGAGGAAAGCAGATGTTCCGTCATGTTTTATTAATCCGCTCTCGCTGCAACTTGCTCCCACGGCGACGGAGTGAGAGAGAGAAGGAGAATGAGAGAGAAATAGGGGGAAACAAACAAACTGCTGGGAAAAAAAAGTTACATTTCTGATGGAAACTGAGGGAAACCGAAGAAGAGAAAGTGAAGGGAATGAAAAGAAGGAACAAAGCACTGAGAAAGACCACTTGTGGCAATGGTCAGCTGTTGCTTGTTCAAGCAGATTGGTTCAAACCAAAAGCCACTGTGGCCAGTCACTGCTCTATAAGTGGATCAGTTCAAACGGAAGCCAGCCGTGTCCAGCCTTTGCTCTCTAAGTGGTGAGAGGGCACC